AGTGAAATTTGCATTCAATTCGGTTTAATTGAAATTCCAACTGAAAATATTTATTTTTGGCTTGAAAATGTTAATTTGGGTTATTGGGTTAAATCGGTCTTAAGTATTTTTTTTTTTTGAAAAAAACATTTAGCAGAGGAAACTAGGATCCTACCTCAGTACCACTGAAGCTATCCCCTTATTGTTTTTTAAGAAAAAAATGAAATAGATCCAAAGGATCTATAACTAACCACATCTGTTCCAGCGCATATAATCATTGGAATTTCTTGTAGTATTATTATTCTTTGGTACAGGGGCCATAACAGGGGCCAGGACATGATCTACAGGGGCACTGGCCCCCGTTGGCCCTTGTCTACAACTGCCCATGGTCCTGCTGAATACCGAGCCATTAATCTTGTGCTGTGCTTCAATGTAAACAATCTTACTGAAAGCCTGACATTTTTTATAATTTTCCTTGTCCTAATCCCCACTGTCTGTGTTCAGACAGGGATAGTTCTTCCAACCCATGTCTGTATTTTTGAAGGTGTTTCTTCTATGACGAAGCCGTAGAGTAAACATGGATGACAAAGAGCCTTAAGGCCAATTTATGATTCTGACGCATAGCCTCTGCAAACGTCAAATCTGTCTCTGTCTCAAAAGTCCTGACTAAACGTCAGACAGTCCCAAACCCGCACAGACTTTAAGCAGAAGTGCGCAGACAAAAAGCAGCTGTGATTGGTCCTTGGTATGCCTTTCTGGCTGTCTGTGTGGTCGTCCTTCTCTATTCGGTACCAGGGCGCGCCATTTTTAAAAACCGAGGAACAACTACAATGGACAGCAACTACAAAATGTAAATCGGTCTTTTTGCCAACTCCATAAACACAACCTGTCCTCTTCGATGACTAGCAACACTAGATCTATCTCCTTGGCCGTGATATCCGCCGAAGTTCTCACAAGTTTTCAAATAGGCTCCCCTTTGCGCTTTGGCTCGAAAGTGCGTTGCGTCCCTTAAAATTCCAGACCGACGATGTAGAAGCATACCAGCAAAACCGGTTCGTACCAGACCCAAGCAACATTTGATGTGTGTGGTTGCAGAAGCACAATCTGCCTTTTAGTGTCTGGAGTTTCTAGGCAACCATAACAGCAGCTTATGCAGAGCTAAAGAGGTCCTTCTTTAAACCCCCAGGAAAATTTTATTCCTGCAATTTATATAGTTATTTTTTGTTAAATTTAGTGTAGATGTGAGATTGACAGACATGTATCAGACATTTGTAAAAACATGGATAAAGGACTATTCCCTATTCTAAAGGAGGGGTCTCAGCCCTACTTAGAACCTCTGCTCTTCTATACCTTCTTCAAATAATGCAACATGTCATGGAGAAAAGGTTTGCCACTTTCTTTTGTCCAAAGTCTACGGCTATATGAGGCAGAGCATTGTTGTAGCATTGTTGCACCTCCATCTGTGATTTTAAACAGCCCACCCTAGTGCCAACTTAGGGATTTTGTTGACACATTAGCAATTTTTCAGACCCCTCTAATTACTTTTTTTTTTAAAAGCAACTAGCAACAAATCTATCTACTCCTTGTTGTGACGTTGTGTTCAGAGCATTTTGAGTCAGTTACAGGTAAAGATTATCTTATTGTACAAACAGAATCAGACTACAGAGCTTCTACATATCTTAACATGTTGTTTCTGGAATTATTATATTAGAAGATAGGTTCACAAATCTTTTTTTAAACAGAGCTCTCCCTCCTCCAAAACACTGACGGTCAGACTCCATAACAAACTGCTCACAGTGTGAGAGACAAGACGTGTTGTTGGAGACTTTGTCAACAAATTAACTTCTATTTATTTTATATTTTGTAATCTAAAGAAGTATTCTATTAACATGTCTTTTTAGGACTCTATAGTTGGTGTTCCAGCATTTTCAATAATACCAGTAATTTCATCATATCACGTATGATATTTATAATACCAAATAGTCTGAGGCAGGCAGACAACTCAAAAAGTGTACTCAAGTGAGATTAAATAAACTTAACCATATTTTAACTTAAGTGAAATGTATTAAGCCAAGAAATGACTCAAGACTAAAAAAGTATTTGGTCAAAAAGCTGCTAAAGTAAGGACTAACTGATCATAACTTCTTATATTTAAAAAAGTAATAATAAAAACAGAACAAAATGTAATGTTATGTGCAATTTTATTTTTCAATAATAATGAAAACCAGCAATTTATCTAATTAAAAAACAATAATAGCAGGTAAAAGAATCTTCTCAAACCAATTTTCTTTTACCATAAAACGTATGAAATCAGCGCTTCCATTGACAATACTTGCTCCTTGCATATTAGCTTGACCTCCGAATGTCATGTTAGATCCAAGTAAGTTTGTGTACAAAGAAGGAATTAAGAAAAACATATATTATTCAAGAAAACGTTACAAGTATGGTGCAGAAAGTATATTTTGGTGAAAAGAGTAAATTTAACTGGTTACCAACCACCGCTGCTTGTAATCTAAAATATGCATTCCATAATTTCCCATCTACTTTTAATAGAGAAGAAAACTCACCCTCTCCTCCTCCTCTCTGAGGTCAGGCATGGTGCTGACGCACAACGTCACGGCAGTGATGGCGACAAACAGCACCGACAGGCAAGCAAAGATTTTCCCCGGCAGGCCTGAGTGCGGGTTCTCCACCATGTCCCTCAGCCTTCGCATGCAACCCCCTGAGAGGGTCTCCTCCGGTCCTCCAGGGGGCTGTTGGCTCTCCTCGCAGGACTGTGGGGCGGTGAGCTCGGCCTCCTCTTCTTCCAGCCTTTGCTGCTCCTTGTACTCCTCCTGCCTTAGACGCAGCTTCCTGAGGCAGCACCATTCCAGGTTATCATCCTCCAGGCCCCAGTATAGCAGCTCCTCCTGGAAGGACAGGGCGCACATCTCCCTCAGCAGCCTCAGCTTCCCAGCAGCCAGAAAGGTCACAATGATTCGGAAAGCAGACGGGTTCCTGTCGAAGAAGTACTCGTTGCAGCTGCCGTCATAGTCGTCGCACACGTCCATGATCTCAGCTTCGTTGCTGCAGCTGCGCAGCTTGCCTAATCTTGTCAGAGGGAACTCGTCCAGCGTGGACCAGGGGATGTGATACTTGATCCCACCGACATTGATTATGGCCGCCCTGTCATCTTTTTCCTGCTGGTTGGGCTGAGGCTGGAGCAGAACCTGGGCTCTTTTGTAGAACAAACCCTTTTTGGATGTGACCTCCTGTGGATTTTCCACTCGGTTGTAGCTGAAGGTTTTGAACTGGTGGTCAGTGCTGCCTGCCAAGAAGGCCACCTCCTGGTACATCCCTGCAACCCAGCTGGGGGACCCTGCCCTTCACTATATGTAGAGTATATAAAGTGACTGAAGGCTTGTCACCCATTCAGCAACAAATATGGTCTCTGTGGAATGAAAAAGAAATAATATTTACATTGGAAATAGGAACAAAACAATAATAAAACAGTAAAAAAATAATAGTGAACTTAAGAAAATCCCTCTAAACGTTTGCTTTTAATTCAATTCAGTTTATTTCTATAGCGCCAATTCACAACACGTCATCTCAAGGCATTTTACAGTTCAAACAGATGCTTCAGACAGGATATCAGAATATCATCTGCAGTATGAAAGCAGCAGAATATGTGGCAAACGACAGACCTTTCTTTTTCTTTAAGCAAAGTTTCTGTGTTAAGAAGAGCTCCACAATCAGACTAAAAAACATCTGTTAGACTTTAAAAATATTTATTTAAAAAAAAAATTCTATCCGATATTTAAAGTTTAAAAATGATCTAAAACAAAAAAGTATATATATATATATATATATACACTGCCGTTCAAAAGATTGGGGTCACATTGAAATGTACTTATTTTTGAAGGAAAAACACTGTACTTTTCAATGAAGATAACTTTAAACTAGTCTTAACTTTACAGAAATACACTCTGTGCATTGCTAATGTGGTAAATGACTATTCTAGCTGCAAATGTCTGGTTTTTGGTGCGATATCTACATAGGTGTATAGAGGCCCATTTTCAGCAACTATCACTCCAGTGTTCTAATGGTACAATGTGTTTGCTCATTGGCTCAGAAGGCTAATTGATGATTAGAAAACCCTTGTGCAATCATGTTCACACATCTGAAAACAGTTTAGCTCGTTACAGAAGCTACAACACTGACCTTCCTTTGAGCAGATTGAGTTTCTGGAGCATCACATTTGTGGGGTCAATTAAACGCTCAAAATGGCCAGAAAAAGAGAACTTTCATCTGAAACTCGACAGTCTATTCTTGTTCTTAGAAATGAAGGCTATTCTATGATAGAAATTGCTAAGAAATTGAAGATTTCCTACAACGGTGTCTACTACTCCCTTCAAAGGACAGCACAAACAGGCTCTAACCAGAGTAGAAAAAGAAGTGGGAGGCCGCGTTGCATAACTGAGCAAGAACATAATTACATTAGTCTCTAGTTTGAGAAACAGACGCCTCACAGGTCCCCAACTGGCATCTTCATGAAATAGTACCCGCAAAACACCAGTGTCAACATCTACAGTGAAGAGGCGGCTGCAGGATTCTGGGCTTCAGGGTAGGGTGGCAAAGAAAAAGCCATATCTGAGACTGGCCACTAAAAAAAAAGAGAACAGCTTGACCGTATGGTATGCAGGAAGTGCCCATCCAACCAATCCAACTTGTGGGAGCTGCTTCTGGAAGCGTGGGGTGCAATTTCTCCAGATCACCTCAACAAAACAGCTAGAAGGCCAAAGGTCTGCAAAGCTATAATTGCTGCAAATGGAGGATTCTTTGACGAAAGCAAAGTTTGATGTAAAAAAAATCTTATTTTAAATACAAATCATTATATCTAACCTTGTCAATGTCTTGACTCTATTTTCTATTCATTTCACAACGTATGGTGTTAAATACAGTAAGTGTGACTTTTCAGGAAAACACAAAATTGTTTGGGTGACCTCAAACTTTTGAACGGTAGTGTATATATGTTATTTTTTTCCAACTCAAACAAAAAAAACACATAAATATGTTGCCCGGAGGCTAGTAAGGAATCAAAATAAAAACAATCCCTATTAAGAGATCTGTATTTATAAAACTGGAGCTACTCTGGCTAATTCTCTTATAATTACATTTAAACTTGTTGAATTGAGAACAAAATACTGAACGAAAATTATAGTAAGACTGACTCCCTTTTTTGACTCTGTTTTCATCAATTATGACACCTGAGCTGCTTTGATCGGGTTTGGTGAAACAGCTGATATCAGGCTGTTCTCTACATCGAGTCAGTTTTGATCTGTGTCAAAGCTGAAGCTGAACTCAGACATATAAGAAAAACTTACTTTTTGGTTGAAAAAAGATTGTTTTAGTTTTTAGTTGGCTCCTCAAAATGCAGAACAGATCCCAGCGCATTTTCATGTACCCCTTGCAATACACTCAGTGACCACTAGGGGTACGGCAACCCCTGGTTTGGAATCACTGTTTTAAATTATACCAATACATAAGTTTTAACATGAAAGATTCAGATTTCCAGGTGATGACTCCTTTAAAGGAATAGTACACCGAAAACATGATTATCCTTCATTTTCTACTCACCTCCATGCTGTACAACACTCTGGAGTACTTTTTTGACATGTCAAA